GGGTCTGGCCCACAAAAGCTCATCATCTAATAAACCATCTTGTTAGTCTTTAAAGTGCTACATAGTCTGGTGTAGCTGAAGGAAAATACAGGACTAACACGGCTACATTTCTATCACAATTCCAGCTATGTTATTCATAGAGCTGGAGTTGCATTCCTTAGGTCTATTTACTGTGATAGTGGAGACCTATTCTCAGAGGGTATGTCTACACTAGCCCCCTACATCGATCTAGGGTGGCTAATGAGGGCAACCGAAATTGCAAACGAAGCGCGGGATTTAAATATCCCGCGCTTGATTTGCATATTCCCGGCTGGTCGCCATTTTAGAAGTTGCCCGAAGTAACTGCCTGCGTCTATACGCGGCAGCGATATGGGATTCCTAAATAAAGCCCTAACTCGAATTAGCTGGTATTCCTCGTTCAGTGAGGTTTACCAGCTAATTCAAGATATGGGTTTATTTCGGAATCCCGTTTTGCTACCGCGTATAGACGCGGGCAGTTACTTCGGGCTAGTCAATTTCTAAAAGGGCGACTGGCCGGGAACATGCAAATCAAGCGCGGGATATTTAAATCCCGCGCTTCGTTTGCAATTTCGGTCACCCTCATTAGCCTCCCTAGATCGATTTAGGGGGTTAGTGTAGACATACCCTATGAGATACTGATATTAGGGGTGATAATTGGAGAAGCTGTCTTTGTATTGAAGCTATCTGGGTATGGAAGGCATTGCCATTGATTCTCTGTTTCAAAAAGAAAGTCTCCCACCTCTATGTGGGCTGCACTGTTCACAGGAAAAGGTCAGTAAATACAGAGCCAGCCCTAGGGACTGGCTTCCTTGTGCAGCAGCGTGTCACCCTGTGGAATTCACTGCTGAGCCTCTGCTGTGACCAGGTTCCCAATTGCACTAGATCATTTCATGGCCATCAATAACACTATCAGCAGGGGGGGAAGACAAGCCATAATAATGATACGAGAACTCGAACTTCATGTTTCAGGTCATAAGCCAATCACCTGCTGGTGTCAAGGGGAATTCCTGTCTTACAGCATTAAATAAAAGGAATTTGACTTTCAAGAGTCTGCTAATTGACTTACTCTAGGGCTGTGTCTAAACTACATCCTTTTATCGATAAAGGGATGTAGATTAGGCACGTCAATATTGCAAATGAAGCCAGGATTTAAATATCCCGCATTTTATTTGTATAATGGCGGCAGCTGCTTTTTTTTCTAAACAGGGCTTTTTTGAAACCCTCTCCCCCCCAGCAGTTTAGATGGGGCATTTTCGACAGAAATGCCCCGTTTCTAAAGATCCTCTGTGCCTCACTTTTTTTAGGATCCTGTACTCCTCATTTTTTGAGGAGTACAGGATCTTTCGAACTTTCGAAACGGGGCATGTCTGTCGAAAATGCCCTGTCTAAACTTCCAGGTTGGTTTTTTTGTTTTTTTTCGAAAAGCCCCATTTAGAAAAAAAAGCTGCAGCTGCCATTATGCAAATGAAGCGCAGGATATTTAAATCCCAGCTTCATTTGCAATATACACGTGGCTAATCTACATCCCTTTATCGAAAAAGGGATGTAGTTTAGACACAGCTTAGGTGGCTGTCAATCAAATTGGAGAAGTCAAATAGTATTTGGTCATAGACTGTAATCTATATTGTATAGATAACTGAATAATCTGTTATTCACATGGCCACACGCATGTACTTTGTTTTGTTGCTTAGTAAGGGAAAAAGGTAAGTAAGACATTATATGGGTTGATTGGGTTCCATTTTTCAAATGCTTGTGGTGAGGATCCTTTGCAAAGCTATAATTTTAAGTGCTGAGTAGTGATGTATGATATAGCTTAATTTTCTAACATCTGTTAAAGTTGTCTTCTCTGTAGCAAAAAAAAGTTAAAGATCTAAAATCAAGGCTGCCATATATGGAAGAGGAATAAAAATGATAAATAGTGGTAGAGTGTGTGAATTTCCATATTCTGTAAAAGACCTTAAAACACCATTTATCTATGTTAAAAGTAAAATCCAATTAGTTTTCTCATGGTTTTTACCCTTTTTTTTTAAAAATGAGTCAGCAGTGAGACACGGGGGGGGCGGGGGGAAATCCATGAGATAATATTAAAAATAATATAGTTAGTGATTTTTGTTAACAAGTACTTATGAACATGTGCTGCTAACTTTCTAAACTTTGTTTTAAGAAAGCAAGTGGGAACATTATCTTTTGCAGATGATGCCTAACAATCTGATCAACAGTCAAGGAATAAGTTGCAGAGCAAGATGCAGATTCTTGTAATGGGCATCCCACAATTGGTGTAGCTGTAGTAATAATTACTAGAATCAGTGAATATGACTTCCGTAATCAGAGACATTAATCTTTGTCATGTGGCTAGGGCCAGGAAGTAAAATCAGGTTTCTTCCAGTATGCTTAGGTATCAGATGGTTGTAAGAGTAGACCAAAGGCGTATCGTTACCATTATTGTGGTTTACCAGTCTTCACCTGAACAACTGTTTTGCATAGGAAGATCACTGTTCAGTAGAGCCTGTGTTCCTCCTGACCAGAAGAATTTGAAAACCAGCTGCAGATAGTGGGGCAGATGGTTCCCAGTCATTTATTTGAAGTCTTAGCGACTTTTCTTAGGGCATGTCCTCACTTGCCACACCAGAGATTGACATTCTCGCATTTGATTTAGCGGGTCTAGTATAGGCACATAAATCGAATGCTGAGGGCAGCTCTGGCTGGCGCCAGGGAGTAAAGGAAGCCAATGGGAGTGTTTGCTTCCATTGTCCTTCTGCAGTGGGGACGGGACCAAGCTCGGCTTAAGGTAAGCCAACTCCAACTATGCATTCTACATAGCTGGAGTTGTGTACCTTAAGCCGACCTTCCAGGTCTAGTGTAGACCTGGCCTTCGAAACCAAGCACGCTGATTGGTGGGGCCCTACCAAATCCATGGTCCATTTTGATCAATTTCACGGTCAAAGGTTTTTTAAAAACCATCATTTCATGTTTAAAGTTTTTTTCAATCTGAAATTTCAGTGTTGTAATTGTGCTACTGGCCGAAAGGGAGTTAAGGGGGGGTCAGAAGGTTATTTGTTCATAGGGAGGTTTCAGTATCAATACCTTTGCTTCTGCACTGAAGTTGGTGGCGAAACTGTCTTCAGAGCTGGGCAGCTGGAAACTCTTGGCTGTTAGCTGGGATCTCTGCCTTAAAGGCAGAGCCACCTCCAGCACACAGAAGTAAGGATGTTCTGTTATGGTATTGCCACCCTTACTTCTGCACTGCTGCAGCTGGGGCAGCGCCTTCAGAGCTGGGTGCAGAGAATTTTATTGAAAGCAAATGAAAACTAATCATCTATGATGGTCCACTTTGTGTTTGGATGGATTTTAAGATGTTGATTTTAATTGATAGAGCCTTAAATGCCTGGGACTTGCGGATTGCCTCTTCTTTATGCCAAATTGCCTCATCTGAGTTCTGAGGGGTGGTCAGACTTCTCACCTCAAGGGGAGCTAGATATGCAGCTCACTCTGCCAGCAGCATTACTTCTTAAGGTTGCTTTCCTACACTCCAAGATCATTGATCTGTTGACTTGCTGTGCATACTGCAAGGTAGGGATGTTAAATATCGGTTAATTTAATAGTTGAGTAACCTCATGAATTTTTATAGGTTAGTTGACTATTTTACAGTCCCTGGGGCGGGGCTGGCAGCTGCTGTATCAGAGGCAGCAGTACAGGGTGCCAAGAAGGACCTGGTCCACAAGGGGGAGCCCAGTTTAAAAATCAGCTCCCCTTCTGGACCAACTGGCCATTGCCCCATGCTGCTGCCTCTGAAAAAGAGGCAGCAGGGTGAGGTGGCAGCAGCCCCTGTCTAAGGGGGGGGGGCGGTCTAAGATCCTGGACCCCGCATGAACTGGAACTGATCCAGGCGGCCTGCCCACCTGGCTCATAATACACTTTAAATGCAGAGCTGCAGCAGGGGTAGGTTCTGGACCTGGCAGAAGCCAGAACTGAGCCGGGCCACTGGCCAACCAGCAAAAAATTTACTGGGAAGGGAAATGTGTGTAGTTTATAGCATTAACCTATAAGCTTTTGCTTATTGGTTAATCGACTACACTATTACATCCCTACTGCAAGGTTAATCTGTTTCGTTGGGCATCTGCGGAGCATGGGGGAATAATAATCTCAGGTGGATTGGCCTGGTGCTTTGTGGCTGGCTTGTTCTTAAAGGGTCTTGTTCTCTGTATTTATAAAACTGGTGGTGTAGTTCAGTGACAGCAGGATAACGGGAGGTGTTGAGTAGGAGGCATTTGTGAAAGGGAGTGGAGCCAGATGAATACGGGCTGGACAAGCAGGCAAGACATGTTTTTGTGGGGAAAATGCACAACACCAAACAAACAACAAAACCATGATTGCTAAAATGTGGCAAATGTATGAGGAGAGTTTTTTTGAGCTGATTTTCTTTTTGTGGTGTGTACGTGTAACTTTTTGGTATTTTATTGTGACTGTACATGTGACTAGTAGTTTTGTTTTCTGCAAAATGAAAAATTTCACTCTTAATCATGAAGGTTTCTCTGGTGTGATACATTATTCAAATAGGCAGCTGAATTTTTAGTTGCCTATCTGAACCTTGGAGCCATTTAGTTTAAACTATTATTTGCAATTCTGTCAGCTTGGCTGAGATAAGTGCTTGCCGAATTGGAGGAGTGGTCACGTTCCTTTCATGCACACTTTTGTTTGCAAAGTTAAAGGCTCCTTTCCAATGCCACTAAAGCTCAAGTACAGGAATGTCTGCAGAAGAACAACACAAGCCTTATGAGGACTCAAGAGCCAAATTCATTTAAAAATTATAGCGAAGACTTTCAAAAATTGTTCTGCTTTAATACCAAGCAGTCAAAATACCTACTACCCAGGATCTGCAGTTTGTTTTATGGGGCATAGCTTTTCTTCATCACTGTAAACATCATCACCACAATTATTCATGTGTAAAATGCCAGTTTGTTTTTCTTCTTCCTTTACAGACTTGTTGAAAATGCAGAGTGAGAAGCAGGATCCAGTAAATTACTATGTTGGGATTGATGTTGGAACAGCAAGTGTTCGTGCGGCTTTGATAGACCAGTTTGGGTCGGTAGTGGCACATGCAGATCAGCCAATTCAAATGTGGGAACCTCAAACTGACCACTATGAGCAATCCTCTGATGACATCTGGGCTGCCTGTTGCACAGTCACAAAGGTATATGCAGTGGATTAAAAACTTGAAGGAATGTATGCTGTAGGCAGTATTTAAACTTCTACAGGTTGGACCTGTCTAGTCCAGCACCCTTGGGACCTGACAGGTGCCAAATGAGAATGTGTTGAACCACGGGAGGTCAATATTTCCTCGCAACATTACCAACATTTCCATTGCTTACGGGGCTCTTAGGGGTAAATTGGAGCTAAATAACAGCACAGAACACTGAGAGCCAGGACTGGTGACTGTAAACCAACTTTATGGAACAGTGGGAAACCTGGCCACACCCATGCTAAGTGGACATCTGGCTCACTAAAATCATGCCGGACCATGGATGTTTGCGTGCCAGACTTGAGGGGTTCAACCTGTATAATGAGAGTCAGTCTTAATGGTCAGTGCCATCTACCTCCCCTTCGGTGTGTGTGCTCTACTGTAAAAAAAAAACCCAAACAAAACCTTTTTGCACCAAAGTACTTGCTAGATACAGATGATGTAGCCTCTTCGACACTATCCTTATTTCACAAGGGAACTGGAAGACTGGAGAGGTTGCATGACTTATCCAAGGTCACCCATGAATCTGTGAAACATTTAGTAATAGAACGAAGTGCCCTGATCCTGCGCTATTTTAAATCAGTGGGAGCTTCACCACTGACTCACTTCAGTGAGCATACGATCAAGTCCCAGATTTACTGATTCATTGGTCAAACCCTTGGGTGGGGAACCTAAGGCTCCCTGGTTTGCCTGGATCCAGTCCCTGAGACATGGGCCTCCCCTCCCAGCCGGTTCATGTGTTCTTCCTCCTGGCCAGACCCCACACCCTAAGCCTGCTTCCTGGCAACTTCCTCCCACACACTGAATTCCTCATTTTTGGCCCCACCCCAGAGCCTAGGGGAAGGCCACAAAATCTATTAGCCACCCTAGGGCATGTCTATGTAGGAAATTATTTTGCAATAACTAAATTCAATGTAATAAGTCCCAATTTAACAAAATTGAAATAGCATGTCTCCACTGCAAGGAAGCATCAAAATTAGCCGGAATTATTTCAGAATAGCACGTCAGCACTGATAGGAGCTGCTTCGGTCTTAGAGCTCCCGGAAACATTCCTGGGAGGGCACTAGGTGGGTGGAGATTTCCTGTGGCTGCTTGGTCAGGCAAGCTGTGACGTGCTTTCAAGGGCTCCTCTCTAAGGCTGCTTCTCACATGCCCCTCCTCCACTGCCTCCCTCCTCGTGGGACACACAAGGGACGCAGTGTGCTCTGGTTGCACTTGCAGAGGCCACAGCACTCACACTATGAAGCTAGGCTCATCGGTCTTGTGCTGCACCATTCATTCAAACTGCCTACATGCTGCTCCAACAGAACGAGGACCAGCCTGGACCACGGGTCCTATTCACCCAGGTCCTAGTGCGCCTGCTGCTGTGCATGCCCCTCAATCCGCTAGACACCATGGAACGCCACTTCTAGTTGCAGAAGATGAGTTTGGCCTGGGGACCACATTGTCCTGCAGGTATGGGATGACCATCAGTGGCTGCAGAACCTCGACATGCAGAAGGCCACCTTCCTCGAGCTCTGTAGGTGGGTCAGCAGCAGCCCCTGACCCAAAAAAGATTCCTTATCTCTGGTCTAAGCCTTATCCACAATTATTTGAAGTGTTGGAGTAACCAGGATATGAAAGAGAAAGTTGACGTGACAAACTTTTTTTTTAATGTATTGGCCCAGCTTCTGTTGGTGAAAGATACCAACTTCCAGTCTCCACAGAGTAGTTCTTCAGGTCTTGTGGAGCTTTAACTCTTCTCTCTTTTACCAGCACATGTTTGTTCAATAAAAGATTACCTCACCCCCTTGTCTCACCTTATGCAAAAGACCATCCTCCCTTTTGAAGCCAAGAGTGCTCCAAACCTACTAGCATATGCAAGTGCCAGAGGAAGTTGTGAAAACGAGGACATGAACAGGGTTCAAGACAGAACTGGGTCGGGTCAGCAACCTTTCTGAAGTTGCGTGCCAAGATTTAACTCTCTTGCTGCTCTCAGAGAAGGGGGCAGGAGTTATCTCCACCTCACACCCCAGCAACCACCTGGGTCAACGCAAACCTTTCCATGGACCATCAGTTGCTAAAGGAAACTCACCATTAATTACATAATTATGCCTGAGCCATTTTGCTAGTGCAGCAGCTAGGGAGAATGGTTTAATTTTAAATTATTAAACAGATTAAGCGTTTTAACTTTCTCATGTTAGTTTATCAAACTTCATTTTAAATAAAGTAAAATATTATTTTTTGTCCAACATAAAAGATTTTAATGTTTTCTTCGTTTATGGCGGGGGTGGGGGAACTTTTTTGGGTCAGGAGCCACTGGCCCACAGAAAAATCAGTTGGTCATCACACAAGTGAGAAGAAAAAATATTCCTCCAAAACCCCCCAACCCTCACTGATGTGGCCTCCAACTGAGACACCTCACTCTTCTGGCACTCCAGCCCTCATGGGGTGAGGGGAAGAGGCAGGGAGGACTGAGGTTCAGGGCTTCCCATAGGCCAGATTTACTTTTCTGGGGTTCCAGAGTTAGTGGATTTTGTGGATCCCCTTAGGCTCTGGGGTGGGGACAAAAATGAGGGGTTCAGTGTGTAGGACAGGGTTACCAGCGAGTGGGACAGGTATGTGGGTACAGGATCTGGGTGGGAGGTAGAGTGCAGGAGGGGGTGAGGATGGATGGGTGGTGGGGTTCAGAAGCAGGCCGGTAGTAGTGTGTCTGGCCAGGAGGGAGGGCGCAGGAGCAAGGGAGGGTAAGAGGAGCAAGCTGGGGGTGCTGGGTCTTGGCATGGGGACAGAAAATAAGTGAAGGGGGGATTGAGGTGTGGGGGTCTGGGCATGAAGGGGGATGTTTACCTGGCTTCATGCCCCCTTACAGTGGGGAAAGCCTCTGGACTGTGCATTGCCATTCCCCCAGCGGGGCGGAATAAGTGAAGGGGGGATTGAGGTGTGGGGGTCTGGGCATGGGGAGGGGCACTTACCTTGCTTTGTGCCCTAGCCACTCCCATTGGCAGTGCCTTCTCATGCAGGCTGAGCACCAGGCTCTTGGCCAGCTCTTGCAGCTCCTCGGGCCACAGGCGATAGTGCTATAGGCCTCCTGGGGCTAGACCACGTATCCGGTGCGGGTGAGCACGTCCCCCCAGGCACAGGCAGAGGCCTTGCTCTGCCTCCGCCCGCTTGGCCAGCTGTGAGCCGTAGATCTCAGCCACCAGTTTGAAGTTGCCGCTGCCATAGGCCACCTCGGCGACCTGCAGCATCTCGGCTCAGGGCCCTGCGTTCGGCTCCATGCCATCCGCTCCGTTCGCTGGCAGTTCCAAGGCACGGATGTCCGGGAGCAGCTCTACCAGCTTTTCCTTCAGAGCTGCCTGCTCTCCCCTACCCTGGCAGCAGTGGCGGGGGTCTCAGCCACCAGTTTGAAGTTGCCGCTGCCATAGGCCACCTCGGCGACCTGCAGCATCTCGGCTCAGGGCCCTGCGTTCGGCTCCATGCCATCCGCTCCGTTCGCTGGCAGTTCCAAGGCACGGATGTCCGGGAGCAGCTCTACCAGCTTTTCCTTCAGAGCTGCCTGCTCTCCCCTACCCTGGCAGCAGTGGCGGGGGGGCCGCCGAGCCTATAGGAGAAGGTGGCGGTGTGGCCGGACTGGGGGCCCCACACGCCAGAGGCAGCCCTGCAGAAGGAGGGAAGGGACTGTGTGATGCGCGGTGTTAAGACAGTGGGTGGCAGAGTGGCTAGAAAACGCATGCCACTGGAAGCTGGCCTGGCTGCCCACCCGCAAAGCTCCATTGGAGCCTCCTATACACTCTGCGGCGGGGGGGGGCAGAAGGAGGCTGCTGGACCACACGAGGGGCAATGTCAGTGCACGGAGCCATTTCTCAATCGCTTCTTCCCTGCAAGTAGTGAAATATCCAGCGGGGCTTGCTGGGGCGTATGGTTGGCATACAACCGGCAGGGAGGCTCACGTGCCAGTGAAAATTGGCTCGTGTGTCACTTATGGGACACATGCCATAGGTTGCTGACCCCTGAATTAGATAAATTCATGGAGGTTAGGTCCATCAATGGCTATTAGCCAGTAGGAATGGTGTCCCTAGTCTCTATCAGAGGCTGGGAATGGGTGATGGGAGAGGGATTACGTGATAATTCTCTGTTCTGTTCACTCCCTTTGGGGCAGGTCATTGATTTACATGTTATGAAACTTGAATAAACTTTACTATGCTGAATATGTAAGAGATCATCTCTCCCACTCTTCTTTTGTATCTAGCAGGCAGGAATCTGAATTTATACCTCCCCTTCGCAAAAGTGACCTTAATTGGCAGTGAATGTAAAAAGGCACTTTTGTCCTTCGTAAAACGGCCACAATCTTAGACTGCTCTGTGTTCCAAGGTTGGCTCTTTAAATATTCATAAGATGCCTGGTAATTTGCAGATGGACAGTTCACCGTTCTCTTGTTATTGATCAGCCTTTTCAAACATTAATGAGCCTGGCTCTGCCTCAAGTGCCCTAAGATAAATAATGGAGGGAGAGAGGGAAGAGTGGCTAGTGGGATAAGCAATGCAGCCTTTTTTTTCCTGCTTGCTTAATTTTCTCTGTCTTTATGAATTATTTTGCTGTTCCCCTCAGTCTTCCTTTTATCCCTAAAATATAATCTCTTAGCACTAAAGACCTTGGAGAGCCAGTTAAAGGGGAGGGGGTGTGATTCTTTACTACCAAGCAGCACTAAAGAAAATATTTTTCAATATAGTGTTAATTAAACAGTGGGTTTTTTTTATTGTTGCTGTGCAGGATCACTGTGTACGTCCACAAAGCATTTCAACTCCCACAGCTGATCTAAGTCTGCTTCCCCAGGCTAGGGCTGCAGAACTGCTTTGTGGACGTTTAGGCTATGGTTAGAGCCCAGGATCTGAGACCTTCCCCGCCCCTTACATCATCCCAGAGCCTGAGCCCCAGTGTCCACAAAGGAGTTTTGCAGCCTTAGCCCTACAAGCCCAAGCCAGCTGAGCTGGGCCAGTCTCTTAATTGCTATGTTGGCGTACAGGCCATTCTCACTGTAAGTCCAAGATACTTTCCAGAAAACTTGGATTTATAGCAAAACAACTTAAAGCGGGGACTATTCTTCCCACGGCTGACTTCCATGTTGCAAATTGGGGTTTTTGCGGGGTTTTTTTGCATGACATAAGAGCGGGGAATGGGAGGACTTATAATGCATCAGTTCCTACAAGCATCAACAAGTTTAGTGTGGAACGGATCTATTACAGGGCGAGGATGCTCTGTTCCCATAAATTACCTCCTCTGAGGCTTCGCATCCTCACTTGTCATTTAGTCAGCGGGGGTGTCTTTTTTTTTTCCCCTTCTTTTTCTCTTTGCAATTCCACAAGCAAGCCACAAAGTTCAGTGTTCTCATAAGGCCAGGGGTCAGTGAGTTCCAGGGCTTTACCAGAAGCCTATTTGCTGGTAGCCTTTTGAAGGAGCTGTGCAGAGCAGTGATATGAGTCCTAGTATACACTCAGGACCAATTTTACAGGCAGTCTTCTTCTAAGACAGTGTTTCCCAAAGGGGTCCATGAAACCACTTTTAGAAACCTGTTAACTAGCTGCTGCTGTATGTTTACTTACTGGCGCCGTGGCCACGGAGCCTCCTGGCTCCTATTGGCTCCGGATCACCGTTTGCAGCCAACGGGAGCTGTGGGAAGCGGTGGCTCAGCCCACACCACTTCCCGTGGCTCCCCTTGGCTGAAAATAGTGAACCAGAGCCAATGGGAGCTGCAAAGCTCCATAGCCGTAGAGCTGGTAAATACACACACGGAAAGTGGTTTCATGGACCGCTTTGTGAAACACTGTACTAGGATATTCAACGGTGGTACGAAGCTAAGTGGAGTTAAAAACAAACACTGTGACATGTTTGGACCCCAAAATGGCACAGAGAATCAGGGCGCTAGTGGCCATGGTCTAGATGAAATAGGCACCCCCAACCTGCTTTTGAATCTCACCCAGTTCAGAATAAACCTTTCAGAAAGAAGATAAAATTAACATAACACGTTTCCCATTCTGTTTCCTTTTTGTGCATGACTGCGCTTCCTGCTTCCAGCCAAGAGCGTAAAAAGCAGGTCTAAGAGCCTGCAAAAGAGGCTTTCATGAAACTGAGTCTAATTTTGCAGACCAAAGGAGTTTGCATATTTTGCATACATTTTGGGTTAGCATCCAGATTTTCAGGTGCTTAAGCAGACTGAATTTCAGAAGCTTTTTGAGCGTGCTTGTAATTCTGGTTTATAAACCCTTGTCTGTAAAGCTCTCGAATGTGCGTGCATTTGGGCATATTTGTGTCTAAGTATTTCTTGTGTATGTTCGCAGAAAGTCGTCCGAGGAGTAGACGTTGCTTGGATTCGAGGGCTTGGTTTTGATGCTACATGTTCACTTGTTGTGATGGATAAGCAGTTTCGGCCCTTGGCAGTTAATTATGAAGGTAAAGCTGCATCACAGAGTCTGAGTTTAGCACGAGTGTTTGGCCGCTGCCTTTAGCGGAGCCAGAATTTTACAACAGAATTCTCCTGTGTAAAGGCCGAATCCCATAGACATGGGTCTATATGAAAAGCCCCCTTGAATCACACAGATCTTTGTAGAATATTAGTTCTTTCTAGGGATGTAAATATTGTTTAAAATAGTACATGTTCAAGCTATTAAAATTGTATTGGTTAACCAGTTAGTCATTAACAAGTTCACAATCTACCCCCGCTTGGGTTGGGCACGCTGCTGTCTCTCCACAGAGGTGGAGTATAGAGAACTGGGAGGATCGTTTGCATGTGGATGGCTGGGAGCTGTGTGTCTTGCTCTGATCCTGCCCCTCGCTCTCCCTGCTACTAGGCATTGCCTAGAATAGCGAGTTTGTTCCTGGGAGAGCAGTGGTGTTAGGGCAGATCCAAGTATTTTGGCAGATTCAGGAGTTTCTGGGCAGACTCCGCGCTGCAGCCAGCCACAAAAGAAGCAGAGCTGGTGGAGGTACGGGGGGGCAGGAGGGTTGCCCCCAGTGGTGCCCTGTCTGTTGGGCATGGGCTGACCCAATGGTGCCCTAAGTATCCCCTGAGTAATGTGGCGGCATTGTTAAAGTGCACGTTAGATATTAATTACAAAGGTCACAATTATTTTGCCAGGCTGTTTGAAATGTTAACTGCAGTATATTAATGGTAAGATTAATGCTTGTCAGTTAATAATTCAACTGTTTAATATTTTACATTGCTAGCTCTCCCCAGATTTTCATCGTTTCACTTATAAAGCTAGATACAAACTAAGCTGGGTGTGCTTAGACAGCGAAAACACCCTCAGAGCTGGCCCAGGCCGGCTGACTTGGGCTCATAGGGTTCAGGCTACGGGGCTGGTTCATTGCTGTGTAGACTTCTGGGTTTGGGCTTAGAGCCTAGGCTCTGACCCCTTCCCTTACTCCAGAGCCCTGTAGAGTACAGGAGCAGCCCGAGCCCAGAGCTGGCTAGCTTGGGCCAGCCACAGGAGTCTAGTTGCTGTGTAAACGTGCCCTTACGGTTTGGATAAATACCTGATGTAGCATTCACTCATCTCACTTCTGATTAGGGATGTGAAGGACTAGTTGACTAGTCACTTCCCCACCCTTGCTGCCTCTATCAGATAGAAATGGGGGAGGAAGGAGAAGAGGAGGATACTTCAATGTGTCAGCGCTGCATGGAGCCCAGGGTCAGCTGCTCTGTGTGGTGCTGCTGCGTTGAATGCTGCGTAGAGCCCAGCGTCAGGCTCCCTGCGGCATTTCAAAGTGGCAGTGCTGCGTAGAGCCCGAATCAGCTGGGGACTCCAGAGCTGATCCTGGGCTCCGTGCGGTGCTGCCTCTTTGAATGCTTTGAAATTGGCAGCGCTGCACGGAGCCCAGAGTCAGCAGGGGAGTCCCCAGCTGACCCCGGGCTTTGGCGCTTTCAGCTTTGAAGTCTAGCAACAGCCCTAGGGCTGTTGCTCCACTTCAGAGGCAGAGGCGCCTTATTAAATAATCGAATATTCAGCCCGGCTCTTGCTACATTTAAACTGCAGAGCCACAGCGGGGATAGTTCCTGTACCCAGCACAAACCAGGACTGAGCTGGGCTTGCTCAGTCCTGGCTCACACTAGGTCCAGCAGCCTGTCTGCCACTGTCAGTAGGAATTGGGGGTGTTAGATTGGTATCTTCTGCTTACTTAATGTGCCCCTGTTTGATTTAGAGAAGGCATTTTTCACTTCTGTTAGCCGTCTTCAAAGTGAATGCATGTCAGCAAATTATCTCTCATTTTTTGGGGGGGGGGTGTTGAGTGATGCTTCTCATGGTAATGAAACATTGGGTAAGAGTCTGTGTAGGTGTCTAGCTGAGTTATAGAATCATAGAAATGTAGGGCTAGAAGGGACTTTGAGAAGTTATCTTGCACATACTTTGTTATGTGATTTGGGTTCTTGGGGTGAAAGGTTATATATTACAGCTTGATTTTTTTTCAGAGCTCCTGAGCACCTGTTGCATCCATTGACTTCAACTTAGGTTGTGGTTGCTCAGCATGTCTGAACATTGGTTTCAGTGGAGCCAAGAATTCACCCTTTATGTCTATCATTTGGTGTTATTTCAGTGAGCTGTACCCAAATTCAGTACTCCTAAGTGACATTGCCAAGTGCAGGCCCGGCCTTAGGGCAAGGCGAGCAAGGCAGTTGCTTTGGACCCTGCACCTTCAGGGCCCTGTGCTGACCAGCACCCGGCCACTCGCTCACTGCCCTGGCTGGGAGCCGCCCGGCCACGTGGTGCAGGCAACCACAACATGCCACCTTGGGCCCCGCAAACTCTGTGGCCGGGCCTGGCCAAGTGGCTTGGCACCTGGGAGTTTATAATATTGAGGAAGAATTGAACCAAAATTAAAATAATTGTTTGTTTATGTTTTGTTTTTTGTTGTCAAGGGGAATGTAAAAGAAACATCATTATGTGGATGGACCATCGTGCAGTCAGTCAAGTGGACAGAATCAATGGAACTCAACATGGTGTTTTGAGCTATGTTGGGGGAGTGATGTCTGTAGAAATGCAGCCGCCTAAATTGCTGTGGCTGAAAGAAGTGAGTATGTTTTAAATTGTGACAGTTTTCTGGCTGATAGTTAAAGGCTTTGACACTGTTCATATCCTTAAGAATGAGATTTAAAAAAAAAAACATTCAGCATTGGGCAAACACTGCTTCTGGGAAGGCAGTAGGCGTTTCACCATTAAGTAGGGTAGGAGCTGAGGGAAGCAAATCTGGAATATTTTTGAAAATCCCACCCTAAGAGCTTCCTTTTTTTTTTTTTTTTTTAAACTGACTGCTTCTAAATTTCTGTTTAATTCAATATTTTCTGTTTAGAACACATAATATAATTGTGTTACTGCCATTTTGGGATCAGATATTTTGTATATGCACTTTGTAAAAGGAAGACAGGATTACTGATAAATAAGGTATGGAAATAGATGAGACTTTAATTACCTGGGTATCCTGCCTATCCTACTTACTCTCAGGAGGTGTCAGTGATATTTCTGGGAGGGATCAGCAGTCCTCGTTATCTCAAAATTGATGTGTCTTGCCAGAAGGATGGTGTCAGATGCATTGCATCCAGGAGTGAAATGATTCAAGATGGCTTTGGTCACTAGTACAGAAATGGCTCAGTCAAAATCCTTAACACACTTGCAGGCCTCCAGAAAAGCACCTAACCTGTTCAGTCCCATCTGTAGGAACTAGCCCATATATTGGAAGAAGACACTCTATTGATAATGTAGAATTCTAATGCTATCTCTTATGCTTGAATTTTATATGTTGTAGGTTGACTTATGGCTTCTTAATAATAACTGTTAGATAAAAGAAAGAATGCTTGCCACTTGAATGTTACATAACCTCCACCAGTCTGGCTTTTACATTTGGTGTCAGTGATGCTTACTGTAGTCGTAATGAAGGCTAAATGTAAATTACATTGTCAGCTGTGAACAGCTGACTTTTCTTCTCCTTACAAACATGAAACATTGTATAGTAACAAGGTGCAGATTGGGGAAGATCAAGGGAGTTACTGGCAGAAGCAGATACCGACAGATTAATATTAATAGAAGATAATTAATGTTTGTGGATGCTGTAGTAAAATATGAATATCCATCTATTAAATACTTTCCATTTCTGAGCCATGAGTAGCATGAAGCTAGTCATTTTATAGTTTGATATTTGCATTATTCTTTATGAAAGTCTTAAAGAAGCACCCTAACACATTAGCCAGTGAGGACTGTGCAGCATGTGCACATTCTCTCTCTCTCATTGTGGGAGTATGGAAGAAATTGTAATTGAATTCACAGGGCAGTTTGCAGTGACACTGCTATGTACCGCTGCGGGTTTGGGGCTAGAAGCAAAAGCTCATTTTAGCCTGCAGTAAAAGTGAAATTAATCCCTCTTCAATGGACCTGCACCAATTAAGATCCATGGTAACCCTTATACTAGTGGAGACCTTTGTGCAGGCCTGCTGTAGTAGTATTAATAGTTTATAGATGAGTAAACTGGCACAGAGAAAATGAAATGCAATTATATTCAGAAAAATACCTATGGAATGGTATGAATCTGCAAGTTTCACAGTCACATCCACTTTTCTGATTAAAGATAAGGGCTTTTTTTAAACTCCTGTTAGCACGGCAGAAATAAGACAGAAATGGCAGAGTTAGCTAGATTCCAGCGGAGCTTATGCATGAAGTATGGTATTAAGTCCTGATTGCAGGCTTTTTCTTTTTTTTTTTTTTAAACTATGAATGATGTACATTCCAAAAAGCTTGACTTTCAGATTCTAAAGCAGGGATGGGCAACGAAGGCTTGTGAGAAGGCTGCTTGATATGGATTTAAATGGTTAACCGGTTAATCAGTAAGCCCCACCCTCAATGGGTGAGGCTTACAGGTTCAAGTTAACTAGTAGGGGCTGGAGCAGCTCCTCGCCCACCGAAGGCAGGGGGCTGCTCCAGCCTCGCAGGGACCACTGCAGGCAGGGGCTGCTTTGGCTGGCAGGCCTGGCTCTCCCACACAGGTTACACACTGGATGGCCCCGCTCCTGGGGAGCTTCACTGCTGGTTCTGCAGTCTACAGCTTATATGTATTGTGACAGACAGCTGGCTAAGCCAGAGCTCTGCTACTACAGCCTGACTGAAAAGGGCAATGGAAGCCAGCTGAGCAAGCCCAGGCCTGAGGGGTTAATAGGAAGCAGCTGTGGGCCTCATTAGCCAGCGGGCTAGATAAGGCAGCCAGAGGGGAAGTGAAAAGGGAGGAGCCAGAGAGTGGCTGAGTGTGCTTCCCTGCTAACTAGAGAGGCTAGCTGATCTGACTGCAAACATAAAAGCTCTGTAAATAGAAGGGGGTGGGAAATCAGCATGGACAATAAAAGGCACAGGTGATTGCACCAGAAAGGGGCTCCAGTTGATTTGTGACCAAAGAAGGGGTCCCAGGGCAAGGGCCTTGAACAAGGACCTTGCCACGGTATATAAGCTTTATAGCCTGTGGACCCTATCTTGCCCACTCCTGATTTGCTCTGACCTTCTCTGTATAACAGGACACCAGCACCACCCAACCACCAGCCTACTTAACCCAACAGCCAGAAGTAGACCAAAGTATTATGGCCTTCAGGCAACAAATCTGTGTGCTGCTGGTGGAGAGTAGGAGGAACCAAGCCCCACTAGTGCCCAAGGGCCCTGACATGGCAGGGAACTGATTAAGTGAGAGATACCCAGATGATCTTGGCAAGCAACCTGTGTCCCATTCTGTAGAGGAAGGCAAAAAAACTCCAAGATCACTGCCAGTCTGACCTAGAGGAATATTCTTTCCCAACCCTACATATGGGGATCAGACCCTGACCACATGAGCGAGACTATCCAGCCAAGCAGAGAGAGGAAAAAAAAGTCAGAACACCAGCCTAGTCCATCTAGCGTGCTGTCTCCAACTATGGTTATCTCTGTTGTCAGAAATAATAGAATGAAGTTATCATTAGAGAGAAAGCAAATACGTGTGGAAAGAGGGAAATAAAAACAAGAGTAAGCATGAAAGCAAAGTTCTTTCATCTAAGTATTCCTGCAAGCCAGCCTGTGTTCTTGGCTAGCTCTGTAAAAAGGGATTTATAGGGATTTTTTTTACGTTAAAAATTACACAATACATCAATTGTTCTCTTGATTCAAGCATCAAAACCATCTTTACTAAAGGCCATTGCTGTTCCTTCTCTGAGCTTATTTTCCATTTTGTGTTTCTTTGTAACTGCTAAGGTCTGTGCATAGCTGTTCATTCTTTGTTCTCCCTGAGAGTCTTCTCTCAGCAAGCATATTTCTTTAGAATATTTGCTAGATAACCTGGCGCTGTACATTAATCCAAATGATGTTGTCTCTGTGTAAGATCATTTGGGACACAACCCAGGGTACGTCTACACTACAACGTTAATTCGAACTAACTTAGTTCGAATTAGTTAATTCGAACTAAGCTAATTTGAACTAACGTGTCTAGAACTAAAAACTAGTTCGAATTAGCGTTTTGCTAATTCGAACTAGCAAGTCCACATTGAGTGGACCCTGAACAGGGCTTAAGGATGACCGGAAGCAGTGCCGGCAGGGCATCAGAGGAGGACTTAGAGCGTGGAGATGCTGTCTCAGGCTAGCCGAGGGCTGCGCTTAAAGGGTCCCGACCCCCACCCCGGACACACAGTTCTAAGGGGTGCCCCGCTTGCAAAGAAGTTCTGGCTTGGAGTGCCCTGAGTGCTCACACTGGGCACATCACACCACTCGGCCCTCAGCCCGGCTGCACTTGCCGCAGGCTGCCATCTGGGGAGAGGGAGTAATTGGGGGGCTGCAGGAGAGCTTCCACCCCCAGAAGCCTGCAGAGCCAGCCCAGTCCTCCCCATCGGGGGCTCGTACCCCATTCCTCCCTCACCTCCTTCCACTTACCCTTCCTTAGCCCCCCTTCTTATTGATGTACAAAATAAAGATAACGTTTCTTCCAACATTGACTCTGTCTTTATTGAACAAAACTGGGGGAGACTGGGAAAAGGAGGTGGGAGAGGGGAAGAGAAAGGCTGGGAGAGGGGAGGGCAACTAACATGATCAGGGGTTGGGAACAGGTCCCAGATGAAGAGAGGCTACAGAGACTGGGACTGTTCAGCTTAGAAAAGAGGAGATGGAGCGGGGACAGGATAGAGGTCTCTAAAAGCAGGGGTTGGGTGGAGAGGGTGCATTCAGAAAAGTTCTTCCTGAGTTCCCATAAAGAAGGACTAGAGGACACCAAAGGAAAGGAATGGGTAGCAGGCTTGAAACTAGTAAGAGAAAGTTGTTCTTCTTCCCAAAGCAAATAGTTAACCTGTGGAACTCCTTGCTGCAGGAGGCTGTGAAGGCTACAACTAGAACAGAGTTTAAAGAGAAGTGAGATCAAG